TCTCTGACATTTTTCTTTGACTTTTTTTTCAGATTTTTGAACTTGAAATAGAGACGTAATTGATTTCTGCGCCACCTGGGACGCTTTCATATTTCTAACTAAAAAAAATTCTCGTTTTATATAACATCTTTTTTTTTGTATTCAGCATTAATTAGATTTTTCCAAGTTTATTAAAAATATTAATGTTTTAGAATTTACTATTTGATTTACCAAATCTTGATAATAATACATAAACACACACACACACAACACACACACACACACACACACACACACACACATATATATATATATATATATATATATATATATATATATATATATATATATATATATATATATATATATATATATATATATATATGGAAATTGAAAATATTAAGAGAATCCAGTTCGTTTTTGTTTCTTATTTAGAAAAGAAATAAAGTTTCTAAGAGAAGCGTTTCTTTAATATTTGCTTCGCACCAAACTGAAAGAAAAGACGATGTATTTGCGCTGGGGGAGTAAATTGCGAACGATCCATTTCACTTCGACAGCGAGCCATAAGGAAGAACAAGACGGATGGGTAAGGGTAAGTAGGGAGCGAGAGTGTGAAAGAGAGAGAGATAGAGAGAGAGAGAGAGAGAAGGGGCGGTAAAACAGTCTTAAAACGACTATTAATGTTAACTCGTTTCAACCTAATGAATCAAGGAAAGGAAATAGTAGAGAGAGAGAGAGAGAGAGAGAGAGGAGAGAGAAGAGAGAAGAGGAAAAAATAAGGTGTGATCAAGGCGATATAGATAAGGGCGGTAAGTTAACACGTCTATTAGTTAATCGTTCAGCGCTAATGATCAGGAAAGGAATTGGAGAGATAGGAGAGAGATGTGAACAAACAGAGAGAAAAGTGAAAAATAACGGTGGTATCAACATGGAATATAGATACATGGAGTTGGTAGTACCTCACGTCAGTTGGATCAGCATCTTTGCTGCACCTTGGATTGCGTGATCAGCTGTTGCGTTTGACTTGATCAAATCTTGATCACCATGAACTTAGCAGTACAGGGTCAGAGGGTCGACATCCGAAAAACATCTTCGTTACAATTTACGAGAAACAAGCATTTGATCAAAACGTGATCACGATTTCTTTTTATTTCCAATTTAGAAACGTTTCAGGGTACTCTATAAACCTGAATTATAAAGCAAGAGATCTAAATTAAAGATGAGCACTTTCTCAATAGTTGGGAACTTTTTAGGACCGTTTCGACCACCAAGGGCGACTCTTCAGTCTCTGATATGAGAACAGTGTGAAAATGGGGAGTTTGAGGTATATGCCCTCATCTGGAGTCGATGTTTCAGTTTCCGTCACGTCCACAAGCACCTAAGTCTGCCTGGGTGGGTCACAATTAGGTAAAAGAAGCACGGAGAAGTATGCGGCAATATGCTGTTTCAGTTAGCACGCACTTGGCTCAGTCCCTGAGTGGGCGAAACATTCTACTCAATAAAATGCCATAACCGCTAAACTGTCTTGTAAACCTGCTCTCACTCATAACTCGTCAAGCTTCAAAATACCATATAAGATAAAATATCCATCGCTCGTACAAAAACATGCGGTCACCTATTTCGCGCCTGTTTATATATATGTCTGTGGTTACCTGGTTACCTGGTTACCTGGTTACCTGGTTACCTGGTTACCTGGTTACCTGGTTACCTGGTTACCTGGTTAAGAGTAGGAGGTAAAAAAAACTGCGTGGTGCTTGACAGTAAATGATACGGCGATGGCGAGAGACTGGAAAAAGACACTTAATAATAATTATAATAATAATAATAATAATAATAATAATAATAATAATAATAATATAATAATAATAATAATAATAATAATCTTTGTTTCTACAGGTGACATACTACTACATAGAAAGTCCCTTGTTATGCAGAGCATTTCGGGCAAATTAGGTCAATTTTGTCTCAGGATGCTACCCACAGCAGTCTACTAACAACCAGGTACCCATTTTACTGTTAGGTGAACATGGACAGTAGAAGTATGAAGGAAACACATCCTAATGTTTCCACCCATATCCGGGGATCGACCCCCCAGACCTGAGTGTCTCAGCTGAGTGCGCTAGTAATCAAGATATGGGACACCAAACTTGTCCTGACGTGAACACAGGCGCGTTCTTTTCCAAGTATTCTGTTCTTTTCTTCATGACCTCACTTGTAACATTTGTCACGAGCCTGACCTCAGGGTGCTCGTTTGCCTTAAAGGGACTGCGATATTTTAAGACTCGCCTGCCATGGTTCGAACCCCATCCATTTTGTGATTTGTTTACAATCGTGTTATTGTGATTTCGCGAGTCTGTGTCCATGGACGAAATGTCGCAGCAGAGGTAACGCTGCCAACAGTTTCCCTTTCGCCTCAACATTAGATTTTGCCACTGAAGTGGCTAGTTTCTTGTGCTCCCCATACCCATCTTCTGGAGGGTAGCGCAAGAGCATATAGATACACAAGAGGCCTAAGAACTAGGCCCCAAAAGGGTTAACATTACATTTGGATTTGTATCTACAGTTCACTTATCGTCCTACCAAAACATTAAATAAGACATGTTCCTCACTAGTAAAACGTTTCGCCGACGAAGACTGCCAGTGATGCACATACTACGTCTTACTCGTCAACTTGCCGGTGGTGTGAGACGTTTAAAAAAAAGTTCCACGAGAAATCAAAGTTATTTTGTGGTCTGGTTCAAGAAGTCTTCCAAACCACAGCAGTTCCATAACATTTCGCTACACAGCGGCTTCCTCAGTCCAGTACAGAGAAGAGTGGTTGAAGATTAGAAGGAGTTTGAGGTAATCAGTCCCTCAAATCAGCATTGACCCTGACCACCTAACATTATCCAGTTGTATATCAGTGTAGTATTCTTCCCCATTCGACTGAGGAAGCCTGCGGTGTAGGCGAAATGTTTCGGCACTAAAGATGCTAGAGAGCAGCATAATTACCTCATCCATCTGCCTATCAGTACTTAGCTGCTAATGATGTTAATGTTAGTGATAATTACTTAATTATCACTAAGGAGGGGGGAAGGGGGAAGTGGATCAGCCATTTCCCAATCAGCAGGTAATTGGCTGCATCTGATTTCCTTTCCCCTCAGATTATACCACTACTCAGACACTACAGTGGTGACAAGAGCTTCCATTCTTAAACTCTTAATTAAGAGTTTTGTCCTCCAGGGGGGAGAGAGTGGGGCTCCATAACGGTGGCAAAAGGCTCTTGTTCCAAGGTTTTAGATCTACTTTCTCTTCCTTGGATCTGACCGAATTACCTGCTATTTCCCAAGCGATGAATGATCTTCATAAATGTAATAATAATAATGATAGCATTAATAATAACAATTATTATTATTATGATTTGTAGAGAAGACAGACTGGAAATCATGGTAATTAGGGAATAGGGAAAAGATGGGATAATGGAGAAGAATAAAGATAAAGCTAGGGATCCTTAACCTTGTCAAACCCTGTGTAAAAGAATAGATATATAGATAGATAGATAGATAGATAGAGAGAGAGAGAGAGAGAGAGAGAGAGAGAGAGAGAGAGAGAGAGAGAGAGAGAGAGAGAGAGAGAGAGAGAGAGAGAGAGGAGCTGAGATATAAAGAGAAATTAGTGGGTTATAGCGGAAGAAGGTGATAAAGAATGGGTGAAGAAGAAGAGAGAAACAAATAAGAAGAGAGAGACAGGGGGGAGAAGCGCTAGACCCGAACGCGGGGTCGTAAAGCTCCCGGGGACTGGGATGTAATCAGGTTTGATCCAAGGAATAGAGGAGTAGCTCCGATTTCTTGAACCAAGAGCCATCTCCCCTCTTCCTTGATGGGAGGAGGAGGAAGAAGAGGGGAGAATGAAGGAGGAAGGAGAGGGTATGGAGGGAAGGAAAAGGAGGGGATGGAAGAGAGGGAAGAGAAAGAGGGATAGAGGGAAATCTAGAGGGGAAAAGTGGAAGAAAAAATAGAATAAGGGATAGAGGAGATAGAGAGGGTGGAGAGTGACAGAATTAAGGGATAGAAGGGATAGAGGGGGTAGAGTGGGGCTGAAGGGATAGAGGGGGGTGGAGGAAAGGGTAGAAGAGAGGATGGAGGATGGAGAAGGGGTTAGAAAAGAGAATGGAGATATATGTGGAGGGGTAACAGTGAAGATGAAGAGAATAGAAAGAGGACGTAGAAGAGAGGGTAGAGAGAGTGAAGGAGGAAGTAAAAGAGAAGATGAAGAGAATAGAGGGGATGGAGGAGGGGTTATACTAGATGACGCAGGGAATACAAAGGGAGGAGGAGAGGGTAGAAGAGGATAGACGTGGTAGAGGAGGGGAATAGAGGATGTGGCGGAGGAGAGGTGTAGACGGCAGTGGGTAGAAGAGAGAGGGAAGAAAGAGAAGAGAGAGAGAGGGGGGGAGAGAAAAGAGCAAGTGTTGCTATTATGAGATTTTTTCAGTTACTATCGTTCATTTTATTGAACTTCGTTTGTACTCACCTAGTTGTACTCACCTAGTTGTACTCACCTAGTTGTACTCACCTAGTTGTACTCACCTAGTTGTACTCACCTAGTTGTACTCACCTAGTTGTACTCACCTAGTTGTACTCACCTAGTTGTACTCACCTAGTTGTACTCACCTACTTGTGGTTGCAGGGGTCGAATCACAGCTCCTGTGTGTGTTTGTGTGTGAGTGTGTGCGTGAGTGTGTTAGTGTGTTAGTGTGTGTGTGAGTGTGTGAGTATGAGTGTGTGTGTGTGTGAGTGCGGGTGTGTGAGTGTGAGTGTGTGTGAGTATGAGTGCGAGTGTGTGAGTGTGAGTGCGAGTGTGTGAGTGCGAGTGTGTGAGTGTGAGTGCGAGTGTGTGAGTGTATTGATCAACGGATACTCGATGTGTTGAATTAAATCAACTCCTCCATTTAATCATCATCATCATCATCATAATCTCTCTCTCTCTCTCTCTCTCTCTCTCTCTCTCTCTCTCTCTCTCTCTCTCTCGTGCTCCCTCACCTTGGAACTGCTTAATCTTCAGAATGTAACCTTTCCTTGTGTTGTCCTTCGTAAACTGCACGTGACCCTACAAGAGAAAAAATGCTGTCAGTTTTTATAATAATAATAATAATAATAATAATAATAATAATAATAATAAGAGCAATAATAATAAGACCCTGACACGATGCCGCATTCTCTCTAATTTCTAGATGCAAGACAAGGGCTCTTGATCCAAGGATCAGAAACAACCCTCCCTTTTCCTCCCATTATGCAGGAGCTTTGTGGCCCCTATAGGTTTAACGCTTCCCATTAAAATATAATAATAATTATAATAATAATAATAATAATAATAATAATAATAATAATAATAATAATAATAATAATAATAATAATAATAATAATAATCGGTTGAGATGATTATGATCAGAATTATCCTAAGTATAATCCGCAAGAAAAAAGAGAAAATCTGTAATTTCAAAAAAATAATCCTGTAAATCCGGTATATAAAATCCCGCTCGTTGTATATTAGAGGAATAATCTCAGTAAATCCGAGAAATTAGATCATAATTGTAAGTACAAGAATAGCAGTCCCCCTCACTGTCAATCTGAGAAAACAAATCCTTGCTAAATCCAGCAAACATCGAAGAAATCCCTTGGCGATTACGATCGTTCTCAAGGACGGAAAGTAATCCCGCGACACAGGTAAATCGCCTGTCGTCCCATTTTCCCCTCAGAGACTGGATACATCCAGGCTCCTCTAGTGGAAAGAACGTGGCAAATGCGACGTTCCGGCTAATCTGAACTTTTTTTGGCAAATGTCATCTTTCGGACTGAGAGGAGGAGGAGGGGGTCATTTATTAAGGGGGTATACCTGGAGTATACCTGCAGTATACCTGGAGAAGGGTTCGGAGGTCAACGCCCCCGCGTCTCTGGTGGGGAGAGGGTCCACACGAGATGGGGAGGATGTGGAGTAGAAGGGAGAGGGGTGAAGAGAGGGTGTAGAGGGGAGAGATGAGAGAGTGAGAGAGGGGGGAGTAGAGAGACTTAATTAGGGGAGAGCTAGTTAGGGTGAAGAGGGGAGGAAGGAGAGTGGAGGGAGGAGAGAAGAGAAGGGAAGGAGGAGAAATGGAGAGAGAGTGAGATGGGAGGAGAAAGGGAGAGAGAGAGAGGGAAGGGAGAGAGGAAGGTGAGAGAGAGGGAAGGGAGAGAGGGAGGGGAGAGAGAGAGGGGAGAGAGGTGAGGGGAGAGAGGGAGGTGAGAGAGGGAGAGGAGAAAGGTGAGGGGGAGAGAGGGAGATGAGAAAGGTGAGAGGAGAAGGAGGAAGAGAGAAGGAGGAGAAAAGGGGGGAGAGGGGGAGGGTAGAAAGGTAGGGGAGAGAGACAGGAGAAGGGTCAGCCACAAGCAAACCAAGCCTCCGGAAATTAGGAAAAAAAAGAAGAACAGGAAAAAGAAGAAGAAGAAAGAAGAAGAAGAAGAAGAAGAAGAAGAAGAAGAAGAAGAAGAAGAAGAAGAAGAAGAAGAAGAAGAAGAAGAAGGAGAAGAAAAAGAAGAAGAAGAAGAGCTGCATCTAAATGGAAATGAAAGCGAAATAGAAGTGAAAGTAGCAATTTCTCAAACACAAGAGTGAAAGCAGCGATGAAATTCACACACACAAGAGTGAAAGCAGCGATGCAACTCACACAAGAGTGAAAGAAGCTATGTAACTCTCACACACATGAGTGAAAGCAGCGATGCAACTCTCACACACAAGAGTGAAAGCAGCGATGCAACTCACACAAGAGTGAAAGCAGCGATCCCAACTCACACAAGAGTGGGAAAGCAGCGATGCAACTCACACAAGAGTGAAAGCAGCGATGCAACTCTCACACACAAGAGTGAAAGCAGCGATGCAACTCACACAAGAGTGAAAGCAGCGATGCAACTCACACAAGAGTGAAAGCAGCGATGCAACTCACACAAGAGTGAAAGCAGCGATGCAACTCTCACACACAAGAGTGAAAGCAGCGATGCAACTCACACAAGAGGGGAAGCAGCATGCAACTCACACAAGAGTGAAAGCAGCGATGCAATTCACACAAGAGTGAAAGCAGCGATGCAACTCACACAAGAGTGAAAGCAGCGGTGCAACTCACACAAGAGTGAAAGCAGCGATGCAACTCACACAAGAGTGAAAGCAGAGACGCAACTCACACAAGAGTGAAAGCAGCGATGCAACTCACACAAGAGTGAAAGAATCGATGCAACTCGCACAAGAGTGAAAGCAGCGATGCAACTCACATAAGAGTGAAAGCAGCGATGCAACTCACAAAAGAGTGAAAGCAGCGATGCAAATCACACAAGAGTGAAAGCAACGATGCAACTCACACGAGAGTGAAAGCAGCGATGCAACTCACACAAGAGAGAAAGCAGCGATGCAACTCACACAAGAGTGAAAGCAGCAATGCAACTAACACAAGAGTGAAAGCAGCGATGCAACTCTCACACACAAGAATGAAAGCAGCGATGCAACTTTCACACACAAGAGTGAAAGCAGCGATACAACTCTCACACACAAGAGAGAAAGCAGCGATGCAACTCTCACACACAAGAGTGAAAGCAGCGATGCAACTTTCACACACAAGAGTGAAAGCAGCGATGCAACCACACACACAAGAGTGAAAGCAGCGATGAACTCACACAAGAGTGAAAGCAGCGATGCAACTCACACAAGAGTGAAAGCAGCGTTTGCAACTCACACAAGAGTGAAAGCAGCAATGCAACTCACACAAAGGGTGAAAGCAGCGATGCAATTCACACAAAGAGTGAAAGCAGCGATGCAACTCACACAGAGTGAAAGCACGGGCAACTCACACAAGAGTGAAAGCAGCGATGCAACTCACAAAGTGAAAGCAGAGACGCAACTCACACAAGAGTGAAAGCAGCGATGCAACTCACACAAGAGTGAAAGCAGCGATGCAACTCACAAAAGAGTGAAAGCAGCGATGCAAATCACACAAGAGTGAAAGCAACGATGCAACTCACACGAGAGTGAAAGCAGCGATGCAACTCACACAAGAGAGAAAGCAGCGATGCAACTCACACAAGAGTGAAAGCAGCAATGCAACTCACACAAGAGTGAAAGCAGCGATGCAACTCTCACACACAAGAATGAAAGCAGCGATGCAACTTTCACACACAAGAGTGAAAGCAGCGATACAACTCTCACACACAAGAGAGAAAGCAGCGATGCAACTCACAAAAGAGTGAAAGCAGCGATGCAAATCACACAAGAGTGAAAGCAACGATGCAACTCACACGAGAGTGAAAGCAGCGATGCAACTCACACAAGAGTGAAAGCAGCGATGCAACTCACACAAGAGTGAAAGCAGCAATGCAACTCACACAAGAGTGAAAGCAGCGATGCAATTCTCACACACAAGAGTGAAAGCAGCGATGCAACTTTCACACACAATAGTAAAGGGCAGCGTTTACAACTCTCACACACAAGAGAGAAAGCAGCGATGCAAACTCTCACCACAAAAGAGTGAAAGCAGCGATGAAATTTTCTCACATACATATGAAAGCAGCGATGCAACTCACACACACAAAGTGAAAGCAGCGATGCAACTCACACAAGAGTGAAAGCAGCGATGCAACTCACACAAGAGTGAAAGCAGCGATGCAACTCACACAAGAGTGAAAGCAGTGAGCAACTCACACAAGAGTGAAAGCAGCATGCAACTCACACAAGAGGGAAGCAGCGATGCAACTCACACAAGGTGAAAGCAGCGATGCAAATCACACAAGAGTGAAAGCAACGATGGAACTCACACGAGAGTGAAAGCAGCGATGCAACTCACACAAGAGTGAAAGCAGCGATACAACTTACACAAGAGTGAAAAGCAGCAATCAACTCACACAAGAGAGAAAGCAGCGATGCAACTCACACAAGAGTGAAAAGCAGCATTTGCAACTCACACAAGATAAAAAGCAGCGATGCAACTCACACAAGAGTGAAAAGCAGCGTTTGCAACTCGCACAAGAGTGAAAGCAGCGATGCAACTCACACAAGAGTGAAAGCAGCGATGCAACTCTCACACACAAGAGTGAAAGCAGCGATGCAACTTTCACAAAACAAGAGGGGAAAGCACCGATGCAACTCTCACACACAAGAGTGAAAGCAGCGATGCAACTCTCACACACAAGAGTGAAAGCAGTGATGCAACTCTCACACACAAGAGTGAAAGCAACGATGCAACTCACACAAGAGTGAAAGCAACGATGCAACTCACACAAGAGTGAAAGCATTGATGCAACTCACACAAGAGTGAAAGCAGCTATGTAACTCTCACCCACAAGAGTGAAAGAATCGATGCAACTCTCACACACAAGAGTGAAAGCAGCGATGCAACTCTCACACACAAGAGTGAAAGCAACGATGCAACTCACACAAGAGTGAAAGCAACGATGCAACTCACACAAGAGTGAAAGCAGCTATGCAACTCTCACACACAAGAGTGAAAGCAGCGATGCAACTCTCACACACAAGAGTGAAAGCAGCGATTCAATTCTCACACACAAAAGTGAAAGCAGCGATGCAACTCACACAAGAGTGAAAGCAGCGATGCAACTCACACAAGAGTGAAAGCAGCGATGCAACTCACACAAGGGTGAAAGCAGCGATGCAACTCACACAAGAGTGAAAGCAGCAATGCAACTCACACAAGAGTGAAAGCAGCGATGCAACTCGCACAAGAGTGAAAGCAGCGATGCAACTCACACAAGAGTGAAAGCAGCGATGCAACTCACACAAGAGTGAAAGCAGCGATTCAACTCTCACACACAAAAGTGAAAGCAGCGATGCAACTTTCACACACAAGAGTGAAAGCAGCGATGCAACTCTCACACACAAGAGAGAAAACAGCGATGCAACTCTCACACACAAGAGTGAAAGCAGCGATGCAATTCTCACACACAATAGTGAAAGCAGCGATGCAACTCACACACACAAGAGTGAAAGCAGCGATGCAACTCACACAAGAGTGAAAGCAGCGATGCAACTCACACAAGAGTGAAAGCAGCGATGCAACTCACACAAGAGTGAAA